GAAAACTGTTTTCCAAAATTCGCAGCGGGTAGTGTACAGCATCGATTTCTGTAGAACCCAGTAGCTGTCAAAACTTTCACATTTTTACGAATAACTCGGAAATCGTAAATTTTTCAGGTAAAATGGTTGAAACAAACATAAATAAAAATTGAACGGCCAATCTGAAAATAACAAAAAAAAGGGGGGGTTTCATTTAAAAAACCAGAGTTGGTAACTACCACACGTTTATGATGCACCCTGTATATTGGAAAGTAATTTTAGAATGTGGACCTTTTAAACGTAAAAAACTTTCGTTGGACGAATTTTCTTGTAAACTTCATATTTACTGAGATATCGCACTTTGACGCACTAATGAGCAACCCTGTATATGTTCCTCAGTGTGTAATGTAATTTACTTATTTATTACAATTTCGTCATCCTGAGGACAACTCTCTCTTACTTCACAACATACTAGACATATACATTTTTGCCTTTATTGACAACATGAAAAAAACCCTTGATCTTTCGAAAAACTGCTAATGGCTTCAACTGATTGTTGCAGATTTTTCTTCATAAAGCCCTGTGGATTATTTTGTTTAATTGTTTCTATTTTTGATTTCTTTAATTTTATTATGGGTTAATAAAATAAACTATCTGCTATGACAACGATTCGACATTATTTTAATGTGTGAAAGTGCGACGAATATTGAAGTCACACGTTGCATAATGATAGCTTTACCGCATGTAATATTATGAGCGTTTTTGTGTCGCATATTCTCACGTTTGAATGTCCCAAAAATTACGTCTTGCGAATTAATTAACATATCTTATATCACACGGTCAGATATAACATTTCAGTTATTAACAGTAAACGAGCATCTTGATCACTGAGTAACATAATTTTCCTGATAAATTTTTTAAATTATTTTTTTTTTGCAAAAAATTATTTTATTTAAGTATATTTATCTTTTTGTCTTTTATTCCTGGGTTTTAGTACATAGAAGTTATATTTTTGAACCTTACAATATCAGGTTTTGACATATACATTTAGTGTCTGCATAGTAGGCCTATTAAAATGATAAAATTCATTGGCATTTAATAGGTATTTCAAATTGTATAACTAGTTATTACTATTATTTGACTTCACTGATGGTTATGGCTTTTTCTAATGTGAACAATTTTCATTCAATGTGATTCATTACTTATAGCTTGAAAGTAATGAAATGCTTTTGCTGAATTTGTATGTTTAAGGGCCGGTTTATTAACTTTCTGACAAACCCACTGGTACTGAAATCGGACTGATAACAAAACAATCAAAAAGCAAGGAGAAACTTATATTAAAGTTTCGATTTTCGATCGAATTATGCATTAACGAATTTGAAAATCTAACTAATCGAAAGTCAGATAATACAAGAAATAGAACAAAACACATGTGGACCCATTTATCAGAATTTAATTAAGTTTCGCTTAAGTAAGAAAGTGGTGAAGTTTTTGCACTTATTCATACTTGATCTTCTAGCTCCTATTTATGCTAGATTGAGAATTCAAATTAGAGATAAACTACTCCAAGCTTCTTCCGTTCGTTTCCACATTTTCGCGTGAGCCATTTTATTTTATATAACTTCAGAGTATTGGTTGACTAATAAATCAACTCATAAATAGTTCAACTTCACTATAAGTAACTGTTGTTTCTATTGCCATTTAATAAACTCCTGCTTCCTTTTTTCTATTGCCATTTAATAAACGGGCACCAGAACTCCAAAGACATGAAATAAGCTACTCATATGCAAATATTCGCTGAGACCAGTTTTTTTATCTGACATGTAAATTAAGATGAAACAGCATAACTTTTTATCTGCTACCTGATTAATGTTATTGGCAGTTACTAGCAAGTTTGTCAGAAAGTGAATAAACCGGAAATATGAATTGAATTAATATAAATGAAAATTTTCAACCTATTCATTTAAAAAATGCAAATAATAGAATAGGTTCGAATATTTTTATTTCTTAGAAAAGGAAGAATTTTTCTTTCTAAGAAGCATATTCAAATAATAACAGTTTAAAGCAACAAAGTTTAAATTAAAATGACAATTTACGAATCAGTTAATATTTAAAAAAATGCGAAATAGGTTCTTCTATTTTTGTTTTATTTTATTTTTTAACTATTATTTAAAGTTTTTAAATTGCACCGTGGAAAACACAAAACTAAGGGGCGCTATTCCGAAATATTTTCAAATTTTTCTACGTTGAGGCATTCTGTATATTACCTTTCAGAACACAACTTTATTTTTCCTATACTAATATTTTTCCTGTTTTTCGTGAAAAATGATGTTCCGGCATATATTCTGAAGTAATCTTATTTAACAGAACAAGTTGTGAATGGGTTTAAAGCGGTAACTACATTAAAAAGTAAAAGCTACGGAATCTAGAAATTGGATAAGTAGGCAGATACTTGGCATTTAAAATATTTTACTTTATGTTATACTTTCACAGTGTTACTACTTTGAAATGGCTTGCTTGAGCCACATAAGCTTTATTCAGATATATGACAATATCTTATCAAGTTTCATATTTTAAGTTCCAAAGCTATTGATTTTTTAAAATAAAAAAAAAAACCGTTATAAAAGTCTCATTCGGCATTAAGTTATGCTTTGACCAGATATACTTTAGACCAAGTCACCTTAAATAAAAATCCTGAACCTGCAAAGTTTTTCGGGTTTTTAGTCCGTCGTGAATCCGACTTTCTTAAGCTACATAAGCTACAGTGAAAATATGCGGGATAAAATTACCTAAATATGAAGCACGCCGTACAAAAAACCGAAAACTCACGAGTCTCGACTAATAGACCTGAAAGCTTATATTTTTTCGGAAGAAAACACTTTTCAGAACCAGCACGAAAACGCAAAGCTCGATTGTTTTACAATTTTTGCTATTTTACTGTTCTCAAAAATTTTTCAATATTGTTTACCAGCCACAACCTGTATCGTAATTTTAATACATGTTTAAATTAATAATGTGATTAATGTTAAGGCGACTTTTCTCTCTATTTTATAAAATGATGTATTTCGGAATTAAATTCCTAATGGCGTATAATGAGGATTTGGTATTTTAGCAAGGTCGATTGAATCGCATTGAATGTTAAAAGTAAGCCTTCGATTTTTTGGCTGTTTTGAAATTTCTTACTGATGTTGCATTCTAAGTATTTCCGCCAGTTGGAAGGTATTCAATGGGGATTTTTAGGAAATAAAAGTCTCCGCGTTATACAAGGCTAGATGTTTATAATTATATTATACGCGTATTATTGATTCTCGTGATGATTTAATAATGCGTTTCTGTCTTCTTTGTTGCCACTCAAGGTTTTTTAAAGATGCTATTTGAGGATAGAATTTGCATTTATTTCCTGGTTCGTTTGGGTTGGGTTCCCTGGCGTTTTGGGTTCGGGTTTAAACTTTTAACCACCTTTTCTAATAAATTAAATATTTTCTAAGTGGAAGGTCACTCAAGTGATTTAAGACAAGTCTGGACGCTTCAATATGTAATGTTGGATTTTCAAAGCGTTTTAGAAACCGGAAGGGGGAAACGCTACATTCTAAATTCATCAGAAAAGATCAGAGTTCATCAGCATTGATTCGTTTGTGTATGTGGCATGATGAATTAACGTTAATTAACTGACCTACTCAATCTTCCATTGTTTATAGGTAGTTCTATGTTTTGTTCATTCAAGTAATCATTACAGTGATTTTCATCAGTGTATCCTGATGCGTTCTAGAGACCAAAATGGTTTAAATCGATACTATTTCCCAATGTTGTGCCATTATAGACTAATGCCCTAGACACACATATTCACTTGCTCAACTATCGAATTAAAGCTAGAACATGGCGTTAAAAAATTGTTAAATATGAGCTGCAAAAGGCCAACAGTGGCAGTGCATATTGCAAGAATTTGCAATTTGTTTAAAAGAGAATGTCCACTCTTGGTAACTTTGGGTATTTAAAGAATCGGTTCGGGTTTTTGTTATTTTAAATTTATTTCAAAACTGTTGGTCAAAATATACCTACATATTACAATTCACTTAATTTACTCCAGAAAAAATTTGTGGCCCACTTTCGTGATGCTTCATTGTAAATATGTAGGCGA